CCCTCCAGCTCAGCTGCTCTGCCTCCGATGGCAACGGGGATGCTATTTTATCAAAGAGGCCCAACGGCTTAAATAGTACTGTTTGGGTTACATTCACAAAGAGTGGATGAGAAATGTGGCATCCGAGTGCTTTCCCCTACAATCGAGTGGAGCTACACTGCGGACCTGCACCTTTTTCGCCGAGCCCTGAAAACCCATCTATTTCGTGCGGCCAGCCTGGCGTAGTCTTAATTAGGTTTTAGTATAGGTTTTTATATGGGGTATTTTAGAGCAGGCCTTTATTTATTTGATTTGATTTTAGAATAGATATTTATTGTGATTTTTATTATCGCCTGTTCACCGCCCTGAGTCCCGTAAGGGAGATAGGGCGGTATACAAATCTAAACAAACAAACAAACAAACAAACAAACAAACTGCAAGAATGGGGGAGGGGGAGGATGTTTTCGATGTACTCTTAAGTCTGCTTACTCCTCCCCCCTTCCCCTTTCCATGAAACTTGGTGAACGGCAGAGGAACCTGGGCAAGCTGGGCTGGAAATGCATGGTAGGAATGGTGCTTCGATGCACGAAATGATGATCCATGTCCTGCTCCGACACGATCCCCTCCGGCTGTCCTACGGTCCTCCAGTACTGGCGGCGGCAGCTAAGCGCGCACCGCAGCATCGAGGCGCCCCACGGGGGCTTCGCTCGGCGCATGTCGGGCTGCTCCGACCGGAGAGGGAAGAGAAAGGGGGCGAAATGCCACCCCCCCCACCGCAACCGATTCTCGGCGGCACGCGCTCCTCGGAATGGCGGCAAACGGCCGAAGGCGGTAGGCGAGAAGGCCTCCGCCTGGTATCCAAGGCAACCGGAGAATGCGAGAAGCCGTTTCGCGTCTGAGGGGGCAGCGCGGGTGCCGAGCGAGGGCGCGATGGTTGCCTTGCTCGCCTACCGCTGCGTTGACCCCTGAGCCTCATGGCGGGGCGCGGCGTTTGAAGAAGCGCTGGCCGGCTGAGCTTTATTGCTAAATTATTTATCGGGTACCTAACTGACGTGGGAAGCGTCAGAAGTTTTTCCCTCCCCACCGTGTCGCGGGAATAACTGAGAATCCACATCGTCGCCGGTCCCATTTACTGAGACTTATCACCGTTCCTTCCCATCTCTCCCCTGAAGGGGGACATGTATGGGCTGGAGTTTATTAAAACACGACCTATAATTTGAAAATAACAAGAAAATAAAGCTTTGTATATGTTCATTTTTTAAAAAAAAATACCGATAGAATTTCCTAAGTGTTTTTTTTCCCCCCGGTAGGTTATCAAATGCTTTGAGATGTGTACTCTTAAATACACGTGAATCAAAACACTACAGAAATATGCCGTATTTGGAAATAGAATAAAAATCCCAATTCAATTTTTCTTGTTTTTTTAAACAATGGAAATGGGGCAGTGATGAATTTCTAGCTAAAGTATTTCACCTACCATGAAAAAAAGTTGCTGGAAATTAGGCAACATATAAATCATTATTACTATTAATAATAATCAGGCAGATTTTTTAATGCTTCATCTTCCTAAGTAAAGTCACAGGAAAAAATCGTTTCTATGGTTCTAATTTATCTGATGGGATTACCTTGTAGTCAATGTTAAAAGCCATTGGCATTGTCATTATTTTCTGGGGTGGATGGAGGGAGGGAGAGCCTAGCAATCATTTTCCCATTAAAATCTAATTAATGAAAAGCATCTTGCCCCACAAAATTTCCCCAATTTTAGATCAGTAATACCGGTATTCATTGCATATGAGTCATTCTTGCAACAAATTATGGTCACAATTCTGCAATAGCCAGATATTCTATTAAACATTAAACATGTTTGACATAATTGCAATGTCAGAGGCATCAGATTTTGAATAAAGAGGTTTAAAGTGAAATGCAGCAGCATTGTTGTGATTTAAACATTGATATTTTGTGCCTTTCCATTTTTGAGATTTCAAAATGATTTTTCTTTATTTCATAGGATCCTCTTTAAATACTGAAAGTAATTAATAAATATGTTGCTATTAGATTTGTTTTAGAATCTCAAAGTATTTTTATATTCAAACAAAGAAAATAGAAGATTGCTATTTTCTCCATGAGTTTGATTTTATCATATAAATTTCTTTTAAAAAATGCTTTGTGGTCCTTAATTTTGCTGTGATGAAAGAGAAACTATGAGTTCCATTTTGATATCTTGCTTTATCACTGTAATATAGTCCGTGAGAGATGTCACAATGATGTTTGTTTAGGTCATAAATCTATATTCCAGGCTGGAATATTATCTCAAATGTGTTATCAGGCTGGGAAATAATATATATTGTTATGACACTTATTTTTATAATTGAATTATCAGAATAAGATTAATGTGCATATTTAGGCTTTTATTTTATATGCTGTATTTTGACTATAGCTTGACTCCCTTATTCAAGAGGTCTGGGAATAAGGTACTAGTGGGTGGTTAAATATTTATAATAAAAACTAAGCTATAGGTAGTCCTTGTTTAGCAACTGATTCATTTACTAACTGTTCACAGCTCAACAATGATGAAAAAGTAACTTCGCAACCAGTTCTTGCATTTACAACTTGGTTTGTAAAGCAAGGCAAAAGTAAGAATAAGTACAGTCACAGTTTCACTTAGTGACCACTTAGCTCAACATCTGGTTAATTATGGTTGTTAAACTACTTATACAACAATAAAGGATATCAGGTTAGACAGATTTATAGCAGTTAATTTACATTACTAAGGAAAAAACCTTAATTTAAATAATTTACATTGATTTCTACTAGAAATTCATATAATTTTGAGCAGACATGCATATTAATATTTTAATAAAACATGCTGGCTTGCAACAAACAATCTTCATTTAATTGTATTACTTTTAATGCCTTTTAGAAGACTAATAAGACTTTATACACTAATATTTTGGGACACTGCAATGTGTCTTTTTTAGTGCTGAGTTCTAACTGCATATCTTTGTTGGCTCTGTCTGTACAATACATGCAAACATACAAACATGAACTTAAGGCTGTGATTTTTTTTTAATTTCGAAGACCATTTTCTTGTCTCTAGGAAATTACAGATCCCATTATGGTGAACAAAGATGTCTAGGTTTACTTATAATATACCCTGCTTACACCTCAGCTAGAACAGGGCATGTCATATTGTTAGCCAAGGACCCATAGGAGCCTAAGCCTCCTTAGAGCATTGACAGTTGCCCATAGCAGCTGACAAAGTTTATCAGCCTGAAATTGCCACAGTTAACTCCCAATTCCAATTGGGTTTAACGGAAAGAATAAATAAAAGGACCTAAGTACTGAAATAGCGAATAAAGATATCTTTCTTTCTCTGTTGAATTCATAGGGGATATAAAATATAATAATGATAGCTGCAGGTTCTTTGCTCCATCTGAAGATATTAGTATGTGTGCCACACTTTCCAGAAACTTTTGAGAATATTTAGTGTGTAAAACAGTATTTTTCCAGAATTTGTTTTACAAAAGTGAACAAAAAATAAACTACTATACTATGGATCATCTTTAATTGGAATTATTTTATTATTAACATTTATTTTTTTTAGAATTTCAGAAGTCCTTTCATAAAAAATACTTAATTCCTCCCTTAATTCCTCATGTTATGTTTCTGCCCTGCAACAGTCAGTATACATCGCATATTCTTAGTACTTACTGGGCTGTTTTGAGTTACCAGATTTTCTCCTCTACATTTGTTTTTGTATTTTGCAACCCCAAGTTTGCCAGTATTTACCTCTTGTGCTACAGAGTGGTGCATTGGTTGCACAATGACAGTAGGTTAAATAATATATATGCTCTATATACTATGTTAAATTCATTAAATTAAGCAAGTTATTTTCTAAATAACAGATTATATTTGAGATTTTGGAAAATAAATTAATTAAAAAAGCAGCAATGACTTTTATTGTCTGTTAAAGTTACTGTAAACCTAACTTGTTTTACATTTCAAGAGCGAATAACTGTACTTCAGCAATTTGGGGAAAAAATGAAATAATGTTGCACATTTCCCCCCATTTTAGCAGATTTAACTACTATACTGAAAATATAAGAAAGCACTTTTCCTTTCTATATCATGTAAACACCAGAATTTGTAATTGAAATACTCTCTTAGGAGTTTTGTGGACAATGATATTTCTATAATATTGTTAATTTATAGAAGTATCCAGGGCAGGGCAAATACTGTAATTAAAATGCTCATTTTTTTTCTTTTTCAAAATGACATTTGCTTTTTACTGATCACAGTGAATGAGGAAATGAGGAAATCATTGCAAACTTTTTGAAATTTTAAGATTAAGTAAAAATTAACGTTAGCCTGCTAGTTGATAATAAACAGCACAATGTGAAATCTGAAAGGTTTTGTATTCCTGCTGTTTTAAAAACTGCTACTGTCTTGTGCAAGTGGAAAGAATTTTAAATTGGGAACATTTCTCTTCTAGAATGTTGACATCTCTCTTAACTTGATCTGCCTGACTTCTTGCATATGGCAACTCTGGAAGTGGATTGGCTGCCAGTGAGCTCATGGATTTATTATGCATCTTTTTTCAGCAGCAGCAATATACCACGTAGTCTCCTTCTGTTCAGTGAGATGTTACCATTCCCCAAGCTGTAGTTTATGCGTGTGCGTTTCACCTGATTGTATCAGGCTTTGCAGAAATATAGAGCGCTCTTCCTTTTGCGGATGTTAATATTCTTTGTTGGTAGTGTATACTGACGTCACGAGGCAATGGCTGAGCTTGAGGCTGGTAGTTGCTGAGTTTATGTGCTAATTTCATCTTCAGCACAGCAAGCAAGCTATTGTCACGGAGCTAACCCTCTTTCTGGCTTACAGAGACAAGATTGCTCAACAAGACATGAACGGAAACTCCCCAGAGCTACCGCGATTGCGACTAGGTGAATGAAACAGCCTCAGGAAATGGAGGAAGAATACATTCAAACGGCTTTGGATTTGTAATGCAAGCAGTTTTTGTGGAGTTCCAAGGAAATTTGCTTTCGTGCTTCTGGATTTAAAATCATGTATGTTGATTATTGTTTGTTCTTTTAGCGTTGGCATCCACTAAAATCAAATATACCGGTATCTATGTATCTATGTTTATATCAGTGTACACCGGTCTGTATATCTATATATCTATATATAATTTGGTTTTCCTATTTTCCTCGCCCTACATTTTCTTAATTTTGTCTTAGTAAATGTTTAATGCAACACATTGAAATGTTATTTATTTGTAGGTCTGTTCACATTGTAGCCTTTGGGAATGAAAGAGATGGATTTTCCGAGGATGATCAGCAGAAGAGTTTGATCTGGACTTATCTTGGGAGAAGTGCTTTAGTTTCAGAGACTGACAGTAATTTGTTATTAAACTCTGCCAGTTACCTTAGAAATCCTGCATTCACCGAGTATCAAGCTTGTGTGTTTGGAAATGTCAGATTGGTGATACATGACTGTCCTCTCTGGGTAAGAGAATGTAGTAAAAAAAAAGTTACAGATCAGTTTTAAACATGTCTACTCTGAAATATCTAGGTCTCAAAGTAGTCCATTAGGCTTATTTCATTGCAATCACATGTAGAATTGTAGTTTTATTATAATCTGGGCCAAGTGCTAAACTAGTATTCAGCTCTTAATATATTAAATTGGATAAAAAAGAGTTAATCTTTTAAGATTGCTCCCAGTTGAATATATTTTGTGTTATCTTTCAAGCTTAAAATATAAAAGAAGCATTTTTATTCCTACATTGAAACAGTTTTGTGTCATAGAATAAAACTCTTTTTACTGAAACCAATATTGTTTTGCAGTGTTAAATTTCAATTAAGATCTTTTTCTAAAAGCAAATTAACTTTCAGTTTACAATATTTATATTCCATGAATGTCAACTTATAAAAATTAGCACTTTTATTTTTCTTAATTAATCATGCAAAAAATAGCTTTTAGTTTCTGATGTTTCTGATGTTAGTATTAGAAGTCTTATAAGCAACTAGATTCATATCTTTATGTGAGATTTTGAGTGATTTATATGGAGGTGAATAAATAACTTGCAGTTTAAATTTTAAATACAAGAAATAAATCCCATATCTGAAATAACAGAGCTACATTTCTATGAAAGTCTATCAGTATTGTCAGATGATGTTGGTAGGCCTAAGGTTTGCATACAAGTGAAATGCTGCTTATCTTAGTTATTGTTGATAGATAACATATTTTTAATAGATTCCATCTCCTGAAACTATCTGATGGTTTTGGACGATATTCCTTGGGTTTTAATTTTAAATAAGAAAATAATCCTTTATAATGTAAATAATATGCTTCCAATCTGTGACATAAAAAGGTTAAGAGGAATATTAGGGTGAGTATATAACTATTTTTAGAATACCGGGACAGCACAGCAGGAGTAGCCACTACCTGCAGGGTGATCAGGAGAACTAAGAAAGTAAGCTAAACAAGAAGGATAGGTAATGAGAAAGTTCTTATCATTCTCACCACAGTGTTGTTTTTCACATTGTTGTCACAGACATTATTGAATAGTAGACTTATATAACACTACAGCATTGTACCTACTGCAGTTGTCAGAAACAAAAGGATTTCTTTTAATGTGTCAATATAGAAATTTCACTTAGGATTAGGGTTTCCTGTCTGGAGATAGGACAGAACTAGTTAAAATACTTTTGCTTGAAGAGATGTGCTCAAAACCACTTTTTCTAATTTATTCTGATGATGACATCTAGGTTCTGTATTTACTGGATCTATATTCAGCTACAATCCATTCTTTTCCTCCCCCATCCATGAAATATGTTGTACTTGAAATATGCATAGATAACTTTGGGGAAAAAATCTATTTAGTGGTCAAGACTTCTAATGGGACAGAAGAGTAACTACAGTGCATTTGAAGGTAATAGTCTGTGCCAAGTAATTATGAAAATATGCCCTAAGTTTACATACCAACTTTGAATTCATACATTTACATGCAAACATTATAGATAATTGAAGATTATTGATCCTGGTGAGCCTGTATTTTTGTCTCAAATGTGCATTTCAACTTCATTACTTACACATGTCTTATATAAGACTTCAGAAATAAACTGCATCTGAGATTAACTTTTTTTAAATAAATTTTTTATTGATTTTTGTAATTAAACAACAAATACCAATATGATACATTTACATACACAAGCAGAAAAGAAAATAATCCAAGTCAATACATTTTCGGAAACACTCGGCAGTCCCCGCCTTGCCTCCACCCTCATCCACTTTCCTATCCTTCCTCCCTCTAACCCACAACCTCTCCTCCTTCCTCCTCTCCACCTATCTACATCCCATCTCCTTTCTAACCACCTCATCGAGTGCAATTTGGGATGCCAGCCGAGCATCTCCTCTTGTCAATACAATTATTATTTACCTATAACATGTAAATACATCAATTTTTATAATTCCCCTAATCCCCTTCCCCCCCTGGACTTCCCGGAACCAAATACAGGACTAAAACACATCCCATTCCGTATCTAAATTACAATTTATCTAAACAATACAATCAATATATACATACTTTAACTCTAATAAAGCAATAAGTAAAAACAATATATCTACTCAAAAACTATATGATATTTATTCACTCCATACTTTCTCTAAATATAATCTATCCACCTTCAACATTTAAGCTCAAAACAGTTTTTAAAGATCTAAATATCTATCAAACATCTTATATAAATTGAGATTAACTTTTTATGGAGGTCATTATTTGCAGCAGTTTGCAACGTGTTCTACATACATATAAAACAGACATCGCTTGTGGTATTTACCATGTTAATTTGTACTCAGGTGGAATGTTTGCTATTTTCTAATGGCTCTAGTCCCACCTTGCAATTTTTGTATGTGTATGAATAAGGATCTCCTCTGAATCTTTGAAATAGCGAGACAACATCTAGGAATATCTGTCATTAGTTGAGCAATATCTTATATGTGTAAAAATCTAGGAATTTCAACACTAATATTTCCTAATTGATCATTTGTTAGGTTCAGAATGTGGATTGATAAGTGTATTCATAGTGTAAAACTTGTGAATATTCATTATGTCAAACTACATTATGTCATTTCAGTTTTGTTATTCCTGCTGTCTTTTCTGTCTCTTCTCTTACTATTGTTCCTGCATACCTTTTGTCTTTCTTTTCCATTCCATCTCCACTCACAGGTACTTCTCATACCTCTGAACATTCTGAACTTAGCTTATGTTCTCTTTTTTGTCAGTTACTTAAAATATTGGCTAATCTAATTAAATTTTCAAATTGTGTGATTTCTGATGTCCTGCGAATTGTGATACTACAACCTAAAAAAAAAGAGCAGAAAATTCACTCATAGTAGGCCTAAGATTTGCATCAGCTGACAATAAGGGCATTGGGCTGACCTTTCATTTCTAAAGTAGTGAGCTTCTCAGAATGCCATGGAAAAACAGTTGAACTTCAATTTCTTATAAGAATAAATGTATCATGATTCTAACCTGAACTTTAAAAGCATTATAAAGATTGTAATAAAAGGTGGAGTAACAAAGTGGTCAAAGGGTACTATGGTATTTGTACATGCTGGAAAAATGTAGGAAAACATAAGTTGGCACATTCAATATCTCAGAAAAAAGTATTTCTAATTGCCCTTGTAAAATGTTTTGTTTAGTTAGCTATTTGGTCTTTAATCTTTACAAGAAAGTTGGAACAGCCTTTAAAAAAAGGAATACTGTATTTACTAGGAATTTTAGCAATTGATTTCTAATAGCTGGTTTTACTGATCTTCAGAAATGAAGAACTAATGGCAGTTATTTATCCAGTAAATCCAGGTCAGGAATAAACTGCCAGTGAAGCAGATACAAGTTTTCAGTTATATCTTTTCCTTCATTTCCAGTAAGGACAACATTTTAAAAGTCAAATGCTTCTGCTTTCAAATGTATTAGTACTGCACCAATGATCTGATATTGCTATAATTAACTAAAACAAGTAGTAGTTTTGATGCTTGTATTTTATATATAAAATATATTAATAATTGAATATAAAGTTTATCTTAAAATTTAGACTGCTGGATTCAAAATCCTTTGCAGCCATTAACTCTGTTAGTTTCATCTAGTCACCCTATGTATACAAACCCATAACTGTAAAATTGACATATTAACATAAAGGTTGTTACAAGCAAGACATAGAAAGCAAGATGGAGTTTGAACAATTGATTCATTGCAGACACCTTCACACATTTTTAGTACCCCAAAAAAGAAATGTTGTATCCTAAGTTTTAGTAAACTTTCAGTTATTATACACTTGTGTGCTCTGATCTCTTGATCAATAAAAAAGGGAATTTAGCTCCATCTTTTTGTTTTGTATAGGATATTTTTGAAAGTGACTGGTACACATCTCGGAACCTCATTGGAGAAGCAGATATCATTGTGATTAAATATTCTGTAAATGACAAGTCTTCATTTCAAGAAGTAAAAGATATTTATGCACCACTGATAAAGAAAACACTTAGTCACTGTTCAGTTCCAGTTATAATTTCTGCTGTTGGTGCAAGACAAAACGGTATGTGCTAGAAGTCATGTTATAAACAGCTGAGATATCAGTATTATGCTAAGTGTTGGATGAATCATGATGAGACAGCTTTGTTATTAGACCACTCATGATAAAGTTAGTACTTCTTAGAATTGATGAAGTGTCACTTAATATGCTACCAGAAAACATTTTACTTGGTTTGATTGGTTCCAGTTGAAAGAGAAAAAATGAGAATAACTCGGAATAGTATCATGCTATACAGGTAGTCCTTGACTTACAACAGTTCATTTAATTAATAAAGTTACAATGGCACTGAAAAATGTGACTTATGACCATTTTTCACACAGCTGTTGCAGCATCCCCACGGTCGCGTGATCAGAATTCAGATGCTTGGCAACTGGTTCATATTTATGATGGTTGCAGTGTCCTGGGGTCACGTGATCTCCTTTTGTGACCTTCTGACAAGCAAAGTCAATGGGGAAGCCAGATTCGCTTAACAACCATGTTACTAACAACTGCAGTGATTCACTTAACGACTGTGGCAAGAAAAGTTGTAAAATGGGGCAAATTTCACTTAATGACTGTTTCACTTAGCAACATAAATTTTGAGCTCAATTGTGCTCGTAACCTGAGGACTACCTGTATGCTCATTTTAAAAACCATCTAAAAGCATGAGCAATATTCTGAGTTATGAGTTAAAGAAAGTAATTCTTTGAAAATTTGGTTGGTACAAAACTATGAAGAGCAAATTTTCCATATTGATTTTTGGGTGTACTCAAAATGTAGTTCCCAATAAGGTATCACTTTTCCATAGAAGTACATGACTAATTACAAGTAATGATGGAAAGATGACCAAATGTGCATCTTATATCATGATGCAAAGTCTACTGTATCATACTTGAATATTTTCATCATATTTAAGTCATAGGATCTGCAGCATGATGTTATGGAATTTCATTTTGTCACTTGCCTCCTTGTGAGCACCTGTGTGTCTTTTGGAATTTGTATAGGAACAAAACTAGTATAACTTCACTGATTCCTGAACTCATAGTAGATGAAGCATGCTAAAGAAATACATAATTTGTAATTGTGAGAAAGGGGTTTCTAGTGTATATAAATTGCAGTTTGAAAAATAATTTTAATAATTTCCATGATATATTAACAGTTTGTGTGGTGTATTGAGTATTTGATCATAAAACATGTTTGGCAGTTGAACTTCTTTATAATATTATTTAATGATTTTAGACAATATGTATGTGAAGTGATACAAATTGTCCTTGACTTTCAATTGCAATTGGGATCTGAATTTTGGTTGCTGAGCAATGCACTTGTAAAGTACGACTGCATCACTTAGAGATGGCAATTTCTGCAGTCTGAATTGTATTGTTAATCAAATTCATGACCATTGATCAAGAAAACTGCCTTACGTCAATGGGGAAGCTGACAGGACTTTGCAAGTCCCAGGTCAGCAGGCAGGTAAGTGGCTACTGCTGGGTTTGAGAGGAAGTAAGGTGGTGCATGGGGGTGCGAGGAAGAAATTGTGAGAGTTGGGGAGAATTTATAAAGGTGCATGTGAGAGGTGTCATAGGGTTGGAGAGTGAGGGGATGTGTGAGACATGGATTGGGGAGGGTATGTGAGGGCATGAGTTTGGGGAGGATGTGAGGGAATCCTTGAGAGGTGCAGCATGGGGTGGAAGGATGCACAAGAGTGTGGTGAGGGCCCAGGTCAGGGAGGGTGTAAAGGAATGTGCAAGAAGTGAGGCATGAGTTGAAGGTGGTGCAAGATAGTACATGAAAGGGTTGGGTTGGGGAGGGAGGATGCGCAAGAGTGTGAGGGGTGCACAAGAGGTGTGAGTTGGGGAGGTTGTAAGGTTTATGTCAGAAGCATGAGTAAGATATTGGGTATGAGTTGGGGAGGATACATAAGGTATGCGAGTGCCAGTACAGCATGAGCACAGAGATGCTGGGGGTGTGTGTGTTGTGTGGGTGGGGAAGATTTACCCCAGCAACTTGCAGCTTTTCCTACTGTCTTCCCCGCTGATTTTCTGGGGAAGTTGGCAAGGAAAGTTTCAAATGGTAATCATGTGATTGCAGGGTGCTACAACTGGTTGTGTCAACTGGTTGCCAAGCACCCAGATTGTGGTCATGTAATTATGGAGGTGCTGGGATGCCAGACTTAATCTTACCTCATTTTTGATCAGGAACTTTCTTTAATAGATTATGGGAATGCTGTAGTCATTACATATAGCTTAACTTCAACAGAGCAATTCAAAACAAGCTGTTTAGCAATATAGTTACATATGGCTATACTTTTGGTTCAGAATTGTACTCAGAGAATGCTCATTGGTGCTGCATCATACTGGAGTGAAGTATTGAGCAGGTGGTATAAGGATCAATCCTAGATCTGATATATTCAATATTTTTCTCAGTAACTTAGTTTAAGGGAAGGAATCCTTATCAGATTTATAGATGCCACAAAATTAGCTGGGATAGCTAAAACATTAGCAACAACATTGAAAGTTATCCAAATAGGTTATAAAACTAGGCTGAAAGCAACGTAATTAACTTTAACAGAGACAAATACAAAGTTCTTAGGAAGGAAATGTCAAATGTGCAGTAGAGGATGAAGCATGTATGTACTGTATTTATGAGAAAGCAGTGTAATGGGGATGCAAAGAAAGTAAATGCAATTTTAGATTGCATTAGCAGATGTATAATGTCCAAATAATGCAATTTTCCCATTTTATTTTACTTTAGTCAGACCAATCTCATGTTGCTCTCAGTTCTGAACGCTGCACTTAGAAGAAAAATTCAGAGAAATTGTAACAAGTTAAGAGAAGGACATTGAAGATGATCAGTGGAATATGGAGTATTATAAAGACAGTTTTAAGGAGCTGGGTATATTTAGTCTTTTTTAAGATGATAGGGAGGATATAATCTCCAAATATATGAAATGGTATCAGAAAGAACAATTCAGGGCAGAAAGATACATTCTGATTGAATTAGAAAAAGTTTTCTAACAGTGAGAGCAGTTTAATAGTAGAACCAATTACTCAGATAAGTGGTAGTCTCCCTTTTGTTGAGTGTGTTAAGTGGAGGCTAGTTAACTAATTGCTTGGGGGTATTTTCATCTGGATTACAGGACTGGACTTGGATGGATTTGACTGCTTAAATAGTACCCTCCAATTTTGTAATTTGGGATTTCAAATTTCAAGTGGAAATGTTTCTTCAAAGTTCTTTTGTTTCATAATCACTATGCAAGGGCATGCTTTTTATTATATTGCTGTATATTGTAGCTATAGCAGTTTAGCCTTACAATCCATGAATTCTTAAATTTGATCGGCTTCTATGTTTTGCAGAGCATTTTTAGGTGGGGAAGAAAAAAAAAACCACTTTCAGATTTGGAAGAAAAAACTGTTTTGCGAAGTGCAAAAGAAAAATAGCAAATAGTACTAGAGTCACATACAAATAAAAAGACAATATGATGAATAGTAACACTATTTATGTTTACTTTTCAGCATCTCTTACCAAGAATATCATATATCGGGTGGAAAACTCGCAACGTCACGTGTCATGACGTATTGCGACTTTTTTTGCCATTGTTGGCAAGGAGTGGGCACGGTTTCGCTATGACGCATCCAGCTGGCGGGCCGGCAGTTTGACACCCCTGTCATATATGATATAATGGTGTGTTGTGCTTTGTAATAAATATGGATATGCAGACTACATCACTTGATACCTCCTTAAATCAGCTGCATCTTTTCTTGGATTCACACAGTGGCTTTGCAATTTGAATCTGCATTGAAATTGGAATGCTGACAGAGTGCAGTTAAGTGTCTTGAGAAGGATTCACTTTCTTAACTCCAAATTTTCCTGGAGTTGTACAGGTATCTTGGAAGCTCAGGAAAAGACATAGCTTCTTTAAGGAAGTATCAGCAGATATACACACTGATGGCAACATGAAAGTATCTTTTTAGCTCAGGTTTCAATTGCAACACATCCCTAATTTAAGTTATTTTAATGTTGATGGCTATCTTCACTTATTTAATATCTGATTTAGAATGAAAATTTACTATGAAGTAAATATTAATCATTATGCACGGCATCATTAGCACTTCTGAAGAATAACAATGTGTATGTGCAAATAGGTGGATTTATAGAGATAGCTATAAATATTGTTTACATTGTGTTGCTGTTCTATAAGGACATAATTTATTTAGAATGGTTGATGATTGCAATAATTAGTTATTTATAATATGATTTACCACTGTTAATAGATGAGAATGTTTTCCTTTTGTTTGAAGGATTATCAAGTGGAATTCATTTGCAGTTTATTAAAGTCAGTGGATACAGAGCTAATTTTGAGTGTACTGTGAAGAGGTGTGTACAATTATACATTTAAAAAAGCATTTAAGTTAATTTTATGGATACACACACCCTCACACACACATGAATAATTGCTTGTTCACCTGTAAGAATATCTTTTTTGCAGAGATTATTTATTCAATCTGCAAGATTTATTGACTACCTAGCAATAAATATTGAATATGCTTGTAATATTATATTAACCATAATACCTTAGCTTTCAGTTTAGAATTTATCTTATTGTGTTTGATAACCTATTCACTTATGACTGTAATTCATATTTGAAAGTTTTCATTAGCTGAAAATTTAATTGAAAAAGATGCTTGTTTCTGTGTGATACAGGTAATCTTTCTATAAAATGAATTGTGTATTTTTTAAAAAAAAGAAACAAGAACTATCAATATTAATAATAAACCAGTAGAATACTAGTTGCATGTATTGATACTTAGGTATTTTAATTTTGTTATTTCTTAGGTTATATAGTAATCCTGCCTGAAGATTTTACTCTGTCTGTCTGTCTGTCTGTCTGTCTGTCTGTCTGTCTGTCTATCTGTCTATCTATCTATCATTTATATGTCTGCCCATCTCATAAGAATGACTCTGGGATGTGTACAACAATCAGTTAAAACAAATACATAAAAACAATCATTATTAAAAAAATACCGCATAGGAGAAAATAAATCAGCTACAGTGATGGAGCTATCATACGATTTCACTGATATCCTGGGACCCCAGTCCTGTTGACAAAGCCAGGTCTTGAGGGACTTTCTGAACATTAGCAGGGATGTAGCTAAGCTAACTTTGGAGTGGTGGAGAATGTTTCATGAGACAGGTGCCATGATAGAGATGGCTCACCAAGTGTAACTTGCAATATGCCTTCTCTATCAGACCTGATGGGTTGGGCAGATATAAATTGGGAGAGGCGGTCCCTCAGATAACCCAATCCCCTGCCATGAAGGACTTTAAAGGTTAAAACCAGCATTGTGAATTGGACTGGAAGCAAATTGGCAACCAATGTAGCACACAGAACATAAGTGTAAAATGCCTGCACTGTTGCATTTTGTATTAGTTGAAACTTCTAGATATTCTTCAAGGGCAGCCCCATTCATGGGATCATATTTATAGGCTTGGATCTAAAAGAGAACCTTGTAAGCAGTGAAGTTTTTTTAGCACACAAAGTCTCATTGAGGCAAATTTCCAGTACTTCCTATAGCCTTTGTGTTCCTTCAGCCAAGTGAAGAGTGGGGAGAGAACTAGCTAAAAGGGCTCAGATGTCTGATGACATTGAATAACTTCATAGATAAATGGTCACAATCTTGACCTGTTTCTAGTAATAACTTCCAAAGATGTAATTTCGGCTATCTCTTCCTTCTTACCTCAACCTTGCCAAGCATAATATTTTTTTTGAGCAATCATCCACTCATATCACATATTAAAGTATGTGGTTTCCACTTACTGCTTATTGGCTCAGAACAGTCTTTATAGCGTTTGGTCTGGGATTGATTTGTTCTTTCTTGCAGTTAATGATATCTGCAGTATTTTTCTCCAGAATTGTAATTCAGAGATGCCTCGTTTTTTTTCACTCTTTCTCAAAGATCAGTTTTCAATAATCTGAAAATAATCCCTTGGGAAGAGATCAAAAAAATATATATTTCTTTGGTTTTCATTTCTGTCTTCCTTGTTTTTTTAAAAAATATATTGTGATTTTATGGTTGAAACCTTAAAGGAACATGACTGAGGGGTTGTTGGTGCTCTCTGGACTTGGTTGTTTTCTTGTAGATGTTTCATCATCCAAATTAGCTAACAAATTAGCTAATTAGCTAATAAGGAGTTGTCACACTCCTTAGTAGCACTGATGATGTTACCTAGTTTGGTTAATGAAATGTCTGCAAGAAAATAACCAAGGTTGGAGAGCACCAAGGATCCCTCATTTCAACCCTAGTTTGATTACTGAAATGTCTGCATAGAAAACAACCAAGGTCAGAGAGCACTAAGGACCCCTCATTTCAATCCCAAGCTACAAATATTCTCTTTGTCAGTAATACAACTCTCTGTGAATCTCTGAAAGGCTTGAATGATCCATCTCATATTATTCCAAAAAATCCATCAACTTTTCAAGACCCAGTTTGGGGAATTACAGAGGGCTCTGGGAAAAAAAAAACTGTTGCAGAAGTGAACTTTTATTTAGCATATTCTAAATATATCTCTTAAAATAGACTTAATCTGTTATAATAATGTATAGTTAATTAGTACCTATGATGGTTTCATTAATTGTTTATTAAATTGTTGCCAAATACAAGTAATTATTATATTCGGTTTGAAGTAATCAAAACAGGAGACCAAGGAATGAGATTTCTGTCTCTTACTGTTTTTTTCTCTATAGTATAAGAACAGTAATTTTGATAAAGTAAATCATATTTGTATTTAGGTGGGAAGCAGTTCAGCATCATAAAAAACTTTGATGCAGTTTTTCAGATAAA